GCAGGGACATCTTCAACTAGATCAGGTTGCTCAGAGCCCCGTCCAACCTGACCTTGAATGTTTCCAGGGATGGGGCATCCACCACCTCTCTGGGCAACCTGTTCCAGCGTTTCACCACCCTCAGCGTAAAAAATTTCCTCCTTATATCTAGTCTATATCTACCCCCCTTTAGTTTAAAGCCATTCCCCCTTGTCCTGTCGCAACAGGCCCTGCTAAAAAGTTTGCCGCCATCTTTTTTAGAAGCCCCCTTTAAGTACTGATAGGCTGCAATAAGGTCTCCCCAAAGCCTTCTCTTCTCTAGGCTGAACAACCCCAACTCTCTCAGCCTTTCTTCATAGGAGAGGTGTTCCATCCCCCTGATCATTTTCGTGACCCTCCTCTGGACCCGCTCCAACAGGTCAAATGTGGCAGATAAAATGTTGGGTAGTGGTCCCAGGGCCTCATCCCACCTGCAGGTACATGAAGATGTGCTTCCCAGGGCACTCCACTTCCAAGCCAGATGATCTGCTGTTTTACGGTTAGGGGGTTTTTTTGTTTAGTTATGTTTTATTTTTAATAAGAGAAAAAATTACAAGACTTGTTTCAAATGGAGGTTTTAAGAAAAGGTACAGAACAGGAACATTTGGAAACCTTTCAGAGCACTATGCCATTACCCCCAGTGAGCACAGCTATGCTAATAAGCTCCCTGAAGATGCAGCTGCTGGATGCCAAAACCAGCAATCCATGTTCTTGCCAAGAGTTCAAGTGATGGGGATTGCTCTGATACTTTAAGTCTGTTGAACCAACTGTACAAGTCATGAGGGTGCCTGTTCTTCATACCAGCCTCATACTTAAAAGCAATTCTCCTTCACTCCCATGACAGTGCTACTCCCAGCAGATTTTGCTGTCTCACAAAAACTCAGTCTAATGCTATTTTCTGTGGTTTATATGGCTTCCCACAAGCTGCATGCCAGAAGGAACGAGGCATTCAAACAAAGGGTGATGGTTTTGAAGATCCCCATAGGAGTGACAAATCAGCAGGCTGCTGTAAATGTGGGAGGAAAAAAAAGATCTAAACAGGGTTAAAATAACCAGGGACCTGCTTACATTGGGCAGGGACATAGCTCAACTGGCCCAGCAAATTGGTCTGGTGCAAGCCAGGACTAGTAGTTCAGCTGGTAACTATTTTAGTGCCAGTTTCCATCATGTAGGCAGGTCCTGCAAGTAAAGAAGGGGAAACATGAATGGGCTGCACAGGTACAAGATGGCCATGAAATCTGAGAGGGAAGGTGAGTAACGGGCAGAGTTTGTAAGGGACACCAAAGAGAGATGGTGCCAGCCCCGTTGCTTAGGACTCGAAGGTACCACCTCAAGAAGATGGACAGAGAGGAACAACCCTGCACCATTGAGAAGATGGTTGGATGCATGAAGGGCCAACCCAGCCCCTCTCCTGAAGCCAAAGACGGTGCAAGAGCAGTGTGAGCTCCCCTGCCCCCATATAAAGCATCTTCCTCATGGTACAAACAGGCTAAGAGGCACATGAAGCAGCTTCACCACAAGACCAGAGTCCCTCTTCCACTGACTCCTGGGATGAAAACAACTTCTTTCCCACTTTCACACAGTCCTCCAGCGCTCATCTTGTTCTGGTTGGCCAAGACTTTGCAGTTTGGGGCTGTTTCCGAAGGACAGCAGGGTTTCAGTGCAGCATTGCTGGCTTCTTGTGCTCCTGTTGTCCCTATTTCACGTTACTGAGTCAGATTTAGATAGCTGTCATGGAACATAATGCAGCTACATGCAAGCAAACCCCATTTCAGGATACAGTAATGGAGCTGAGCGATCACACTGTCATGAGCTTGTGCCTGAGCAAACCCTGATGAGAGCAGTTCCCGTGCTTTATTTTTACTTTATTACTCATGTTACTGCCTAAACAACTCCTGGGGTTGCTTTTTGCTAATAAGGATATTCCAAAGGCTTATTGAATATATTCAAACCTTTGACTCAAAGGATACCAAATAAGTCAAAATTCAACATGGAAATCTATTGCTTACTTAAATGCTTTGGTCTTGCGCAGGGCTAAGAGAAATGCACAGCTTTGATATGATCTGAAATTGCTACTGGATTTCTGGCAGAGCTGAAAGGTGTGAAATGACCTTTCATAAACGCACTATGGAGAATAAAAACAGTGAGTGAGGTGGGGTGTACAGGGACCAACTACACATCCAGGGTCCAGCCCAATCCCTACAACAGGGAAATACAAGAAAATTTTACTTGAAGTTGGGTTGGGACTCAGAGCAAGAATTTTAAATTTCAGTAGGATTAAGATATTAGCCTGCCACAAACACAGTTCATAATTCAGCATTTCTGCAAAAGGAGATCAGATTGCCTGAGACAGGCTTTCTAACATTTTTTCCAAACTTTTTTCAATGCTCATAAGCGTTTTGCGAGCCTAAGTCCTATCTGCAGAAGTAACCAAAGCTTTTGAGAGACCAACTCTCACGGAAAGTCAGTCAGCAAGACGTAAGTCCCAAACAGCCAAAATCTCTTTAAAGGAATTTGCTGAGTGACTGGAGTCACCTCCTGGTGAGTGCCCAACTTGACACACCTCAAGGATGACTCATTTTCAGGCAGTTTTGAATACCTCTTTCATCAAAATCGAGTTCTTATAAACAGTCTCAAGCTGAGCAGCCCATGACAGATTGCTAATGGCTTATACAGATCTTGCCCATAATCACACAGATCACTCAGGGTTTTGAAAACACCACTTCTCCAGTCTAGAAGACGGGGTGGGATCCATACAAGCCAGTCCACACACCTAATTTGCAATGAAATGAGCCACACAAGCTGCCTCATCTTACCTAGTTTAGGTAAGTCTAGTCCCAGTTCATCACCTAGACTCAGTCCATTTGAAATGGAGAGAGATAAGAATCCTAAGCAGGTAAGAAAACAGAAGTCCTTTTCATTAGAAGAGGTTGCATTATCAGACCCCCTCTTCAGTAAGTAAACATTTAGACTTGCATCTTAACAAAAGTGCCTCAACTAAGTCTAATTGGGTTAAATTATCCTGTCATCTTTTCACCATAGGACCAAAATCTCTGACAAAACTCCTGAAAGAATGAGATCTCTGAACTGCTGACAGTAATTTAATCTGTAAGGCAGAGCCTTAAAAGGTGATGTGCTAATGCGCTACTGGTTATGCACATTTTAGATATACTCTAATTTGATAAGTAGTACTTTGATTTTCAGAAAGAAAACTGGTATTTATTAAGAAGATTAATTATAATTACACCCTCACTTATTTGATGAATTTCTGAACCACATAAACAGGAATTTAGTGTCTCAGGTACCACTGTTCTTTGGAGCTGAAACTAAGAAAAGTTGAGTTAAAAACTGAAACACAGAGAGTTGAAAGTATATCCTAACCAGGGAAATTAGATAGAAATGGCAGGGGGCCTTGCATACTTGCAAATGCTTGCACAGGGCAGCAGACCCGAGTTAAGATCAGGTCTGCTACCAAGTCAGAACCTTGTCTAGCACTTTGCACAGCAGGGTCCAACTGGATCCGTTTCTGGAGGTAAAGAAGTATAAATAGTAGCAGATGTTAATGACTTCTTAACAGAGCCCTGGTGCATTTGGCATGTGATAGGTGCCTAACTTTTTTCCAGGAATTAAAAAGCAAAGTGGTTAAATGACAAAAATAATTAATTCCTCAACATATCTTAGAAAATGGGATGTTCTACATATCTTTAAAGAAAAGTGCCAGGAATTGTGTTGTAAGTGATGGATCTCTGAGTGTTACTTCAACGCCAGGTAAAATGGAAAAAAAAACCAGAAAGAGTTGGCAGAGAGGACATTTCATGGGCCAGCACTGTGGCCCGTGTCTGCCACAATCCAGATGAGGACACGTATTCATGTTGTGCCATTAGGAGGAAGGACTCTTACATTTATCTGAGGGCATTAGGCAGGTGCTGCAAATTGGAGCGACGCTGGAAGGCTTGAAAGCTTTTGGATGTGGACAAATTGCAGACCACGTATGCAGAAGCCGTGTCATCAGGTATAACACTCACGGAGGCCCATTTGTGGGCATCACCACAGCGACTGACAACAAAAATTTTCTGTGCTTGGAAAATGTTGTCTGGGCAACCAATTATATTAAAAAAAAGAAAAGCAGCACTAAAGAGGAGCCATCTCCTGTGCAAAAAAGAAATAGAACAAATATTTAAAGAAGTTTTTCTTTGTGAGAGAGGGGAAAAACTCCTGTCAGCACTTTAGAAATAAGCTGCTGTGACCTCTTGAACCGTGATGAGTAAATCCTGTGTTCAGTAAGGTAACAATGGGCCTGGAGGCACTTGTGTAGCTATCAGCACCCAGACCATGAGTAAGGAGAGCTCTCAAACATCTCTCAAAGCACTAGAATTCATGTCACATGCTCCAAGAGCTTCCTCTCCAAAATAGCCAGTTTTCTTATGTAAATGGCTATGCTGAGAGGCCATATGAGATCACTTGGTGCCCAAGCAGAGTCACACTCCCTCATTTTCATCAGCGCTTCAGCAAACATCATCTGAACTTCCCTGCATCTCGCAGACTTATTCTAGTCAGTGCCCACTTCAGAACAAAATAAAACATGTTAATTAATGACAGAAGAGCTGACAGCAAAAATTATGAAAATTGCTGTCTCAGCTCAATTCCCGCTAGTGCTTTGGAAGAAGATTTCCAGTCCAGGATTATACAAGACAGCCATTCAGGCTGTACAGAGTGCATCCTGACTCACATGTCTTAAAATAAAAAAAAGATGGGCTGATGGCTTCACAATGGGAAACGAAAGAAATCTGTTCTTTTCCTGATGTTATCAGGATAGAGCGTGCCTGTGAAGTGGGAAGATAATGCCTGGAAAAAGGTATTCCTCGGACAAATCTGGATCACTGTGTCATAACCACATCATCTGTTTGAGTTCTCGTAGTACCATGGTATCATCAGAGGTATGAAAACACAGGTGAGGTGGCAGCTGCAAAGCAAAAGGAGCCTCTCTCTGACTGCTGGAAAACATCAGGTCTTTCCTACCAGAAAGATGTGAGACAAATCTATCCCTGGGGAAGCCACTGTCACTTTAGTTTCATGGATTTCATGGATACCCCAGAGATTAATTTTACTGTTTCAGCTGACTAGCTAGGTATTGTAGGCGGCACAGGCTTGCTGGATCCATCTCATGCATGAAGTGAGCCTTTTAAATAGTGTTTGTTCAAACAGATCCTGTCATCACCTGCCATATAATTCTCACATTCAGTTACTTTAACTTTTTTACAAGTATGGTAAAACACACGGTAAACACTGGTAAACACACGGCTAATCAGTAGCCTGGTACAACCACTACCTAATGGACAAAAGAGCAAAAAATAAATGATAGGAAACAATTTGATACTGCCCAGAAAGGCCCGAGGATCTAAAGAGCTTTTGCACACTGACATCTAGGAGTCATGGTTTTAACAGAGGATGACTGAACGTGTCTGAATAAACGTAGCTCTTGCATTCTACTGTCTTCTGTCAGGGGAATCTGGCAAATGCTATCTTTTATGATTAAAATAATGTTACATTAGGTAAAGCTTCTTGTTTTTATAGGTGCTTGCAGAATCGATGTGTTTGAGGATATTCTTCACATGCTCCTAATTTAGCTACAAGCAGTGTCTTTGAGAAAACTCATTTTGCAAAGGATTAAAATCATGAAAGTGAATCCCACAAACCCTGAGCTGAATTGCAGGATGCAGACCCAAAAGAGAAGAGCACAAAAGGCAGAGCACCAGCAACTTCTGAAATCTCTATTTCTAACGAACACCTGTAAAATCTCACGTGCACTATGTAGTGGCACTGGAAAACAAGTATTATTGCCTTTTCACTATGCATCTGTATTGCAGCTGGGAAGAGCGGACGGACAGTATAACCAAACCTCTTACCAACGTAGCCAGGAGTCCCGCAGGCTGTGGACATCACATCTCCTTTACCCTCCATCTTTGACAATCCAAAGTCACTGATCATGATTTTTGACTCTTCATCCTGGCTGTAGTAAAGCAGGTTCTCAGGCTAGAAAGGAGAACAAGCAAAGTGGGTTTTGAATATGTAAGTCCAGTAACAACATCTGTTGGCTGATGCTTTGCATTTAATAAAAATTGTTAGTTATATCATACACTAATATAATTTGGTTCCCCTAAATCCTAAAGAGTTGCTCCTACAACCTATATGGAGAACCTCTCCAGACTCCTGTATGGTGACTGATGGAAGAAGCTGACACCTTGAGCTTTGAGTAACTTTCCTGGGATAACAAACTTCTCCTTTGGCACTCCAAATAAGAACTAAGGCTCATCCTTTACTCGTGAGGTATGTCCAACATACCATCACTTCAGAGTGATAAAACAGAAGGATTCATCTGAAAGCAGGTAAATATGGTAAATCCAGGTAGTGTAATGAAAAATTTTTATATGGCATTTAAAAAAATAAAAAGGAAAACAGTAGGCATTAGAGAATTTTTGTATCTTCTCTACTGGAAATAAACTGCTGTGAGAGAGGAAATGCCTTTACAGTTAACAGAGTTGCAGCAGGGATGTTTTAGCTAGAGCTGATTAGGAAAAAATACCACAGAACGAAGCTCAGCAACTTGTTTATGCTGAGAGAAAACAAGAGTCAGTCCACAAAGCCCTGTGACTTTATACTGACATCAGGCAGGTTGGAGAGCCCAACCAAACTCCATCTGCTACAGCACAGTCCTCCATCCATGTGTTTTGAATGTGCTACTGCTACACAGTAAAGCTCTCACTAGGTGCTGTGAGAGCACGCTTCTTCCCCTAATTAATACCTGGGCTCGCAAAAAGGTCCAGCATCTGCTGGCACTCTGACAGGCTGGTGGTAACGGGGTGCCATTGCACCACCCAGACCTTGGGGTCTTCATGTACAAAAGTGACGGATACCCAATGTTGCAACATAACCCTGGTGTAGACTTTTGCCCAGAAGCTGGTACAAACACCTACCCACATGCAACACACTTTGTCTACCAGCCCACCGTGTGCTCCAGGAAATGGCGAGAAGCAGCTGGGGCCACAAACATAACACATAACCCTGGTGTAGACTTTTGCCCAGAAGCTGGTACAAACACCTACCAACACACTTTGTCTTTTGTCTACCAGCCCACCGTGTGCTCCAGGAAATGGAAGCAGCTGGGGCCACGGCCACACAACATCATCAAACTCCTTGGGACACATCCAAGCTTGGATTTGTAAGGAGGAGCAATTGCACTGCAGCAGCACCAGCATCTGTCTTCCCTCCTCCATCGCCGTAACCTCCTCTAGGGAAAGCAGGGACGAAGAAGTGCCGGGGGGAGACATCCCCTCCACCCTACTCTGAGGTTCCCGTTCAGCTTCAAGTGGAGGTTAAAGCACTTTCTGGCTCCCCAGCCCCAGCATGAAGCCACATAGTGATGGCTTTATCGATGGCACATGATGGCCATGAGAGGATCTACAAGCTGAATCCACAACTGTGAGCCAGCTGGGACTGAGGCAAAAAGGGAAATGATTTTGTTCATAAAAATGATTATGAAGGTGTACCATTTATGTTTCTTTCTCATGATACCTTGTAAGTTCAGTGTTTTATCTGTCCGTTATAATGCTGACACTGTTTTTAGGCACCACGTCAGTCAGTTTTATGCCACGGTCTGCCGTTGGTTGGAACTACTCCTGATTTTTACTAGTGCACTTCTGATCTGCTGAGGGGTTGGTAGAGCTGGTATTAAGGGAAAGACAATTATTTCCCAGTGATTTCTGCTAACTCACCTCAGGCCACCACTTACTCATATTTAGTAAGGCCAAGAAACCCACCCATTTAAAACTTAAACTTGTTTTAAAGAAGAAACCCACCCATTTAAAACTTAAACTTTAAAGTTTAAAACCTGTTTAAAAGAACTCTGGTTCTTCAAGCTGGTTAACTCAAAAAGCGTTAACGAGGTGGCTCTGTACAAAGCAGAGCTGCTCGAGCCTTTCAGTCCTTTTGTACATCCTGGACTTCCCTGGACTTCATCTGCTGCCATCTCTTGTTATCTGCTGCTGCATTATTTCGATTAGAGACTTGGAGCACAGATCTGCTTTTCCCAACTACAGCAAGTACTATTTTGGTATCTGAATAACACACAATTACAATAAATAATTGTTATAGATGTTTCAAGGGTTGTATTTTTGTGGAGTGGATTCTTTCTCAGAGTTTCATTTTGGGGGATCACAATTCGAAACTTGCACTTATCTTGGTATTTTGAGATCATAAAAAGCCTTATTATATCCCTATTTTTGCCATCCTGGTATGTTTGTGCTAACAGAAATTCACAGCAGGTGTTCCTCATATACCATATTTTATGAGTCATTTTAACAATTGATATGGTACCGACAAAGACTTCCAAACAAAAAGAAAGAAAGAAAGAAAGAGAGAAAGAGCTAGCCTTTGCCCCAAAATACCGCTGGAGAAGGTTGGTTTGATCTAAATTCAGCATGTCCTTACATAAACTCTGAAAGTAATTTGTAGATGAATCCGCTTCCCAATTACCAGATCTCATATTTTATTATAGGAACTTTTTAATAAGATTAATCTGTTTTAAAGCGAGAGCTACAGCCTTCCTTTAAATTATAAAGGCAGGAATATTAAGAGCTTGTACAATTGAATATCTGAATTAAGAGGACTCAGACCTCCCTCCAAAACCTCTGGTTGCAGAAAGAAGCCTGAAGCTATTTCCTGCAAATTGAACTTGAGAGAAAGCTGATCATGTTAAAATACTAAACAACGCGTCCATACTGAAATGCGATGGAACTCTAATAAATACGAGAATATTTCTATGTACTTCAGCGTAAGAGCAAGAAATGAATGGGAACTGAGGGCAACATGTGAAGACTGTAGGAGATGGAAGACTAACCAGTGCCTCCTTACAGAAAACCCGTTATTTGAGACTGTCAGGACTAAACTGCACAACACTGAGGAAATATTATTTGCAGACATCAGTGTATCTTTTCCTTCAGTGGATTCAAGGTTTTGCCTTAAAAATGTGCCAAACCAATACTTTAAAGAATATATTTCTACTATCTATTAATCTACTCTATCTTTTAAAGTGAAGATCACAGGATGCCCACTTCTGGCAGAGGTGTCCAGGACTGAGGAAAGTCCCTTGCAGCAGTAAGGTGTGGAAAAGCTCGCAATCCCAGGGGAAGAATCTCTACACAGCGAAAAGAGTCACATCTGGAGTCAAAGAGTGGCAGAAGGAAAAGACCGTGTTAAAGTTTTCACAAAACGAGGCCATGTCTGCCTGTCTTGGGCACGGCTCCACCTTGGTGCCGGTGGCGACACTGGTAACAGGCTCTGTTTTGGCCCCGCTGCATCACATCTTGGAATAATTATTTTACTCCATGCAGCATTTCACATCAGCACTTAATTTGGAGGAGATAAAAAGCAAATAAATAGTATCTCTCATTACTACAACTTTTCATCCATCTTAAGGCAAAACAATGAGGTCATATTACCGGCACTACGATCTTCACTAAGAGGACTTGCCAAAAATTGCAAACCTGCAGTTTAATGTTAGACTGTATTAAAAATACAACTAATTTAAAAATACATTTACTAGAAAAAGGTATTTAAGAAGTAAAAAAAAAAGAAAAAAAGCCCCGTCTTTGTGGCTCTTGACTGTATTAATGTTCGTTAAGCCTTTACATAATATGACCTGTTTAGCCACATTCCACTGTCTTCTTACATGGGGATACTTCAAGGCCACAGCATCAACATCCAAGGCAACTCCTGTTTGGAGCATCCCTCCAAAACACAACCAGAGGTGTTATCTCATTCACTGAATTCTTAATTTCTGGCAGTAAACACTGATAGCATTAACTAGCTCAGGAACTGAAACCACAGTTTTCTTTTGACATTTGTATCTTTTTCTAATGCCTTCTGCTAATTTATTACTTAAGATACTAAAGATGGGGACATTTAGCTGTGTTATGAAATCCAAGCCTTTCTGCTTCTTTTAATGACAGTTTAAGATATAGGAAGGAAACAATACAGAAATAATGTTTTGGGATTTTTTTTTGCCAGAAAAGCTGAGGGGTTTTGATGTGATAACACAGTACAGTTGAAAGGAAAATTATCTAAAAATCACATTGGCACGCAACGTTCCTTAGAAGAATCCTTGCTGTTAACAGTGTCTCCAAAAACACTGGTCCAAATAGCACGATAGGAAATCATTCCACTTTCCCACACTATTTATTGTTACTAATTATTATTAAGTAAAAGTAAATATAGCACAGCAAATCTTCAAGATACTTTATAGCAGTAAACACTTACATCCCAGCTGAGATGAGTTTCCTGCCTTAATGTAATGTTTTGGGTCTTAGTGAATGACTTTTCTCTCACATGGTATGTGCAAAACTCCCATTGTAACAGCATTGATTGCAAAGTCCTCATTAAAACCAATTATGATGGGAGGATACGGAGCCTGCGGAGCATCCCTCTTATGGTAAAACCTTAGTGAAACAGCCAGTCCCAGGGGAGGCTGGATTTTCATGTGTTAGACTCACATAATTGTGCAACTTTCATTAACGCTGCCTGGAGGACTGAGTCACACTCGAGTCACACTGCGGTCGTACCTTGAGGTCCCTGTGCACGATGCCCATTCGGTGCAGGTAGTAGACAGCATCCAGGACCTGCCGGATCAGGGTGCTGGCATCCTTCTCGGTGTAGAAACCTTTCTCGACGATGCGGTCGAAAAGCTCTCCACCAGACACTCTGGAAAACATGACGGGATGCAGAAGTGTGAGGATATGCTTTAACGTGCTTTCTACCTCGCTCAAGGATGGCCAAGGCCACGCACTAGCCGCAGGCAGTCCAAGCACACGTCCGTCTGGAGCCCTGGGGGCTCCTCAACTGTCCCAACAAGCATTTGGTTTTGTTTTCTTCATAGTCCAAGGACTGGTCTTTGCCTCAGAGACCAGAAGAGTAGCAAGGGGCAAAGAAAAGAAGTAACAGAACTAAACCAGAAATAGTCATGCTATAATAGACAATAAAATCCATCACACATCAGACAGTGGTCAAAGACTCACTAGCACTTGCAGAGGGAAACCACAACTCCACCCCAGCAAGAGCCAGGGAGAGCAGACACCAGCTTCCACGCTGTCCCACCCTAGCGAACTTTGTATAGGTGAATTCGGTCTGCCCTTCCTGCTGGTGCTGGCCCACTGACGTTGTAAGGCTCCCTACTAGTATGAGCCCTTGGGGTTCACTTTCACTCCACCAACCAGGGTTTTGCCCTGGAGGAATGGTCCCATTCCCCTTTCCCCACCAGCGAGTGAAAGGCATACAGTAGTTACTGCCAATAACTAACTATAGAGCGTTAGTTCATTAAAGGACTCTGGGTCTCTAGTAATTTTAAATGCTCTCAGGGGTGTCCCCCCGCTTTACTCATACATGGATATTCATTTATCAGCAGCCACAAACTCTTTAGGCAGAGCACGGCCTCTGCCCAGCATTGGTAGCAGACAGTTATTGATGAGGGTGCACAGATTACCAGCGCAATTAATCACCAGAAGACACAGATGGGGAAAGGATTCCACAACTCAAAGGGGAAAGAAAATAAAACCTTGGCATCCCACTATTTAATGTCTGCTATATTACGCTTTTCCTCTGTCCTGCTAGAAATAACACGTTCTGAACCCAATCTTAAATAAAGAATGGACACATTAAAACTCCCTGGAGGAGTATCTGGGGAAACAAAAGAGGAAAGAAATGTCTGAGTAATTGAAATAATAAAACTGTCAGCAAAAACCTGCCATACTAGGGTAAATAAAAGATTTCCATTTTAACAAGCAAAACCTATTAAAAAATAAAATGTATGCGATATGTTTTTTCAGCAAGTTGCACCACTTAGCATATCATAAATAGCACAGTAAAACTTTCTTTAAAAACAAACCTAATAAAGGGAAAATAATAAATTATTACAGTCATTATATACATATGGACTGGGAGCTTGTCATTATAAGAACACTAGGTAATTCAGCCGCAGCCACTCCAAGCAATAATCTGCTTGAATAATGCCATGAAGTCACCTCCTAGGGAAGTTTGGAGCCTGAATGGAAGAGAAGGCTACCACTAAAAATGAACACATTCAACTTTGAAACTGAAAAGCAGTCTTGGAAGAAAAAAAATAAACCGGATAATCCCCCTATTAAGTGCTAGGGAAACAGACCAAATAGCTTGCTAAAATATTGGCATTAAACTGAAACTCTGCAGTAAAGGTGAAGTTCACCCAGGGTCTGAAGTCCACCCAGGAGACCCCCTGGCTGTACCAGCAGCCCTGGGGCTTGCTGCTTGCTGCCAGCAGAGAGGGACCAGAGCAGCAGTGCCAGGCTGACAGCGGGGCGAGGAAAACGCCCTGGTACCGTACTGAATTGGAGAGTCCGTGACTCATGGCACAGCGGGGAAGGAGGTATGGCACGTAGAAGTTGCACCGGCAGAAGTGCCATCACACAACAACCTGCTGTGAGATGACACCCTGAACACTGCACAGAAAAACTTGAATTAAACCCCCTTCTTTCCTAGTTTCTCAGAATAGGAGTTGTATTCCTCATATATATATGTGTGTGTATATATACATATCTATACATACACAGGGTGTTGCTCCAAGCCCCTCTCAGCCCTACACCCTTTGCCTGACCCATCGCATGCCTTGGGAATGGACACACCGCTGCCTCGCCGTTCACTGAAGGCAGACACAGTTTTATTGAATCTGGCTCCTATTAGCTGACTGTCTTTTTATATTTCCCCTGCAGCCCTTTTGTTTCCCATGGATTGATTGCACTGAAAATTGAGCCCACGCAGTAATTCATATGACTGAATACAGCACATTTCCCCATGAAAATGCAGGGCGTGCTGTTTTGCAATTTCATAGTTACTTTTGTTATATTCAGGAGATGGACTGCTTTAGTAGATACCGGTTTACATCAAGTGCTTTCCTGCACAAGGATTCTCTCCTTCGACGTTTGCAGAGAGTATACTTCCACAAAAATTTTTTCATTAAAATGACAAAATTTCCCTCTGTGCCAGCTCACTCCCCATCCCCCTTAAGCCTCATTCTTTAATCGAAAGCTTTTCTTAGTCAAATTTAGTCCAGTGGATCTACTGTACCCAGGCTCAATCTGTTTATAATTTTCTTTCAACACACGGAAAATATTTGCAACCTCTTAAATGATGCATTGCAAACCAGGGCTTAATCCAAGGACTCAGGAGGAGCAGCCGGTAAGTTTGCAGCCATTTGCTTATTCAGTGTCAACAGCATCCCAGGTACACACAGACAATCGAGGGACCCATGCTCCTATTTATTCGTGTGGTGACTCCGTGTTATGGCACATGGGATTTGCGTTACATGTTTGCACTCACCTATAGAGTATCCCTGCTCCGGGCAAGCGTCATGGCTGGGGTTCACCTCCCAGGGATGCTCTGCAACTCAGCACCCAAGGCCATGGCTACTTTCCATATGGAGCTTATGTCCGTATGGCTTTTCTCCTCCAAAATGGTTAACTCAACCGTAAAGTCATTGGGAACGCTGCTCCCTGTATGCCGCCCAAGGACTGACGGAAGTCAGTGCTGTACTAGGAGCAAACCAGCAAGGGCAGCTGTGGGAGAGCACTTCAGCTCTAAACTCATGGTGGAGATGCGGCCTGTTTGTCTAAAGCTGGTCTCGATCCCAACCCTCTCTACCCTGCTGACACGGGACTTGGCATCCTGCTCTGAACAGACCTGGGCACTCACAAAGCGCTGCTGCAATTTGTTTGTTCCAGTCTTTATTATTCTGGGATACTTTTCTTCTTTTTTAACGGCAGCACCAGTTTTGCCCTCTCTATGGCAATTTTGAGCAGTGCACAGGAGGCAGAGTTGAAACTGCAGGCAGTAAGAGCAGAATTAGGTCTTTGTCTTAAAGAAATTTAAGACAAAATTTTCTGACCAGAAAGAGAGGGTAGGAGGAATTTCTCATTAGTGGAAGAGGACTGCTCCTGTCTTGCAGCTGGCACTGGCTCATGGAGCTGGACACACTGTCCCAAACATCAGCACAAGGAACCTTTTTCCCCTGCTGATTTCGATCTTAGTTCCCTGCAAAGAAGAAGTCAAAGGAGGAGTAGCCAAGTGCAGTTACTTGAAATGTATTTAAGCCTGGGAACAGCTCAAGTGTCACGCTGAGATCCAAAGTAGCATTAGCCCTGCCCGGGGACTCAGAGCTGGGCAAAAATCAGCAAAGCAGCTGCAGCTGCATCTTCTGCATGGATGCCTGCTGGGACTACCTGCAAGGCATGTGCGGTTCCATCTCTTGGTGCCTGCTCGGCCACTGAACAGTGGCTCTCCCCTGGTTCACCAAGGGGTGTGGGGAAAGCCCAGCGCTTGGAGAAGGAGCTAAGCTGGGTGTCCACATCACACATGGACACCCCCAGCACATGCCCTGTCTATCTCCAGGAATAATGGGAATCACTTTCAAAACAATGCCCAGAAGATTCATTTAGTTTAAAATGAAAAAAGAACCCCAACCATAAATATGAATACTTTTCACTTCTACGACATCTTTTACCTGAGGCTATGTGCCTTTAGCTCATGCCACTGACTATCAACATGAGGAAGGCCAGAATAAACATTATTTCCATTTTCTCATTGCAGGAAAGAGAGAATCAGACTTGTCCCAGTGAAACAACCAGGACATACAGCAATGTCCTGTTCCACAAGCCCTACCCCACTAAGAAAGATGCATTGTCATCAAACCCCATTTTGAAGAGCGGCAGTAGGACACAGCTTGACCATATGAAAAAAGAAGCATTATCTGCAGTTCCAATGGGGACACACAGGTTGCACTCTGGTTCCAGGGTTTCCTGAGATAAAACCTTACGGATCTAGTGTTTCATTACGGAGACTTCATGTACTGATCATGCAGATGATGCAAATCTTTCAGAGGATCTAGCCTGGTGCTGGAGTTTGCAATACACTCCTACAGTCCTCTTGGCTGGGGTCAACTATAGAAAGTTTTCCCAGCTCTAATGAAGATGAAGGAGGGAACAGAGACAGTTGTTAAAAACAGAATCAGTGTCCATTGCTAGGTGGTTGCACTCTGGTTCCAGGGTTTCCTGAGATAAAACCTTACGGATCTAGTGTTTCATTACGGAGACTTCATGTAATCATCATGCAGATGATGCAAATCTTTCAGAGGTAGCCTGGTGCTGGAGTTTGCAATACACTCCTACAGTCCTCTTGGCTGGGGTCACTATAGAAAGGTTTTCCCAGCTCTAATGAAGATGAAGGAGGGAACAGAGACAGTTGTTATTTACCCCGATTTTTTTTTTTTACATTAATCTTTTTTTTTTTTTTTTTTCCTGGCTGGATTTGGGGATTTTGCCTCTTGTTTCTTCCCAATTTGGTGTTTAAATGTAGATCCAAACCTCCAGCGCAGGCCGCTACACTGTCTCAGTTTAGGACAGGTTTCAAAAAACTTTGAAAATGCCAATGGTTTTGTGTACACAGATGAGCTACTTAGTTATTTGGGCTCTGCGTGTGCACACTGTTGTCTAAACACTCTGCACAGACACTGAAAGACCTTACAATCTTCATTAGAGGCAACGTCCTAATAGTTATTAAGGCTCTGTTCAACGGTTGGTGTCAGTCCATGTCACTACACAAGTTCTATATTTTTGTAATTTCTAATTTACAGATGTAACTTGGGAGACATGAGGAGACATTTCAGCATTAGTATTACA